TAACCCTAAACCCTAAACCCTAAACCCTAATTCACAAGGCGCCAGCCCCAGGCCCATCACGATGCACGCAAAACGAACCACTCTCATGAAGTCTGATAAGCGCAGCCAAATACCAGCGTTAGGGTTTAGGGTTTGGGGTCTAGGGTTTAGGGTTTAGGGTTTGGGGTTTAGGGTTTGGGTTCAGGGTTTACTCCTGGTGGGGGGGCCTGTGGCTCGCAGGCCCAGAGGGCTTCGTGTTTGGGGCTTCAAAGCAAAAGTAAAACCTGCAGAGCATGCAAAACCCCAAACCCTAAACCCCAAACCCTAAACCCTAAACCCTAAACCCTAAACCCCAAGCGAGCTACAGGTCTCCGCCCGGTGATAAAATGCGCTAAACCCTAAACCCTAAACCCTAAACCCTAAACTATAAACCCTAAACCCTAAACCCTAAACCCTCAACACGAACCCGGCGATGAGGTCGCTGAAGGTCTTAAGCTGCTGCAGGTGCTGCAGCATCTCAGCTAAGCAGTACCGCTGACAAATCCTTATGTGCATGCATGCGCCCCCAAGCCCCAAACAATTCTCTGGGCATTCAACAACGATAGCAGAAGAAACCTGAAACACAACATTATACGCATACAGGCTCCACATATTGCTGTTGCTGCTGCTGCTGCTGTTACTGTTCTTGCTGCGGTTGTTGATGCGGCTGCTGTTGCTGCTGCTGCTGTTGTTGATGCTGCTGCTGTTGCTGCTGCTGCTTTTTTTGTCTGCTGCTTTCAAGTATTTGGTCACCTGCTGCTGCTGCAGAATGGATTCCACCTTCGCTGCTGCTGCTGTTGTTGCTGCAGCGACGCGGTGCTGCAGCAGCAAAGCCGACAAACACCCAAGGAGCCTGAGAAGCCGCAGTAAACAAATACGAGCAGCAGCTGCCTTGCTGCTGCTGCTGCTGCAGCTGCAGCAGTTCATGCTGCTGCTTCTATTGCTGTCGCTGGCTGGGCATCTGCTGTACTTCAGTTTGCTGCTGTTTCTATCACTTACCTCATCCAGCAGCGGATGTACAGGCCCAGTGGATGCTGTTGCTGCTGCTGCTGCTGCTGTTGCTGCTGCTGCTGCTGCTGCTGTTGCTGCTGCTGAAGCATCTGTGGTGTGATGCCCCCAAATTCAGCGCAGAAGGCTCCTAAAAGATGCACTTCATTTCGGGAGACGCGTCGGCGTCGTTTGCTGCTGCTGCTGCTGCTGCTGCTGCTGCTGCTGCTGTTATGCTCGTGCTTTGCTGAGAAATGTGAGCTCAAGAGCTGCAAGAGCTGCTGCTGCTGATGTATGAGATGAAGCAGCTGCTGCGCTGCAGCAGCAGCAGCAACAACCCACGTTGTTGAAGAGACTTGCTGCAGGGACTCGGCTCTTTGTACAGCGGCGACGAACAGTTGCAGCACCCGCTGCTGCTGCTGCTGGTGCTCCTGCTGCAGCAGCAGTTGCTGCTGCTGCTGGATTTGCTGCTGCAGCAGCTTGGCTTTAAAGAGAGAAAGTAAAAGCACATCTCTTAGAGTCTCCTCCCGCAAGAAAGGAATCAGCTGAATCCACACGGAAGGTTTCAGCACTTGCTGCTGCGCCTGCTGCTCCTCTTCGCCGATCAGCTGCTGCTGCAGTAGCTGCTGCTGCTGCAGTAGCTGCTGTTGCTGCTGCTGCTGCTGCTGCTGTTGCAGCATCTCTGCTGCTGATTCTGCTGTTATGGAGGCCACAAACGCGAGGAGGGGTGCCGTCGGTACGCTCCCCCACAGATACAGGCTGCAGCAGAAGTCCTTTATGGGGGCTGCTGCTGCTGCTGCTGCTGCTGCTGCTGCTAAGGTATGAGCTGCTGGCGTTGCTGCAGCAGCAGCAGCAGCTCGATGCAGCGAAGACCCCAGCAGACAGCCCGCAGCATTCAGCAGCCCGCCAAGGAGCCCTGCAACTTCTCTAAGTTCTTTCTGTAGTGGGGAGAGCCAACACACCAGCAGCCTGTGTATTTCAGCTCCTGTCGATGTGCTGCTGCTGCTGCTGCTGCTGCTCCTGCTGCTACCGATGCGGCAGCGGCGACCGAAGAAGAAAACAGCAGCAAGCAGCTGCTCCCGCATACGAGGCGCTAACGAAGTAACTCTGCAGCTCTCAACTGCAGCACCAACTCTCCTGCTCTCGTTGCTGCTATTGCTGCTGCTGCTGCTGCTGCTGCTGCTGCTGCTGTTACTGCTGCTGCTGCTGCTGCTGACGAGCTCTATTTGAGGGTCTTGTGCAGCGAGCCTTAGGGCTTCTCCTTCCTCTGGAGACGGAGAGGCCCTCAGCAGGCTATATGCTCTTCGGAATGTTCTATTAAAGACACTCAACACTTGCTGCTGCTGCTGCTGCTGCTGCTGCTGCTGCTGTTGCTGCTGCTGCTGGTGAGAGTTGAATGAAAGGGCTCTTGCTGCTGCTGCTGCTGCTTGGAATGTCTGTTTTAAGCACAGCAGACACAGCAGCAGCAAAAGATCCATAGGAGCAGCAATAGAACAATACTATAAGCAGCAGCAGCAGCAGCAGGAGCAGCAGCAGCAACAGCAGCAACAGCAGCAGCAGCGAGTTACCTCATATAGCAAAGGGTAATGCGGCAGCATCTGGAGAGCATCGGGCCTCAAAGCTGTCTCCTCTGCTGCAGCAGCAAGAAGCAGAAACTCCCCCATATAACGCCAAGCTGCTGCTACAGAGCTGAGGTAGTGCTGCAGCAGAGACACAGCAGCGCAGCAAACAGCAGAGACACAATCTTATAAAAACAAAAAGATAATAGAGAGAAACAGAAAAAAAATTAAAACAAAAAGGTAATAAACAGAAACAGAAAAAAAATAAAAACAAAAAGGTAATAAACAGAAACAGAAAAAAAGAAAAGACAGAGAAAAATACATAAAAGAATATAAAAACAGCTTGTTATGTAAATGCACACAGATAAAGACAAGCCGGTACACACAAACAAACAAGAAAAAGCATACACACGTACAAACACACACACACACATACATATATATATATATATATATATATATATATATATATATATATATATATATATATATATGGTGACAGAGAGAGGTGGAAGCAGATACAGGTAGAGAGAAGCAGAGACAGGAAAGAAGAGACAGAGAAAAATAAAGAGAGACAGAGAGAGAGAGAGGGGAGGGGGGGGGATAAATATATTAATATCAAAAGAGACAGAGACAGAGAAAGAGAAGAAGAGAAAAATATAAAAAAAAATGAGAGACAAACAAATACATAAAACCCTACCCTCTGCAGAGCATCAACGTCAGAGACACTGCCGCTAAAACCTGCAGCAACTCCAGCTGCAGCAGGCAGCAGCCCCTGCTGCTGCTGTTGCTGCTCCTGTTGCTGCTGCTGCTGCTGCTGCTGCTGTTGTTTGTTCAAGGGAGACCCCAACTGTTTCTGAGCGCATCGCAGTGAAGACAGAGAAAGGAGACAGAAGAGATAAAAAAGGAGACAGGGAAAATAACAAAGTAACAGAAGTAAAGAGACAACAAAAAGAGACAGAAAAGGAGACAGGGGAGACAAAGAGAGACAGTAGGAGATAAGTAGAAACACAAACACAAACCAACAAAAAGAAACAGAAAAAGGAGACAGAGGAGACAAAGAGAGAGACAAAGAGAAAGAAGCAAAAACATAAAAAAAAGAGACAGAAAAGGAGACAGAGGAGACAAAAAGAAATAAGTAAAAACACGACAAAAAGAGGCAGAAAAGGAGACAGAGGAGACAAAAAGAGACAAAAGAAAGAAGTAAAGACACAACAAAAGGAGACAGAAAAGGAGACAAAGGAGACAAAGCAGATGGCATCCATAGCCACGAGAAGCAGCGAGAAGCTGATGCAGCAACAGAGACAAAGACAAACAGAGAAACGAAAAAAAAAAAAAAATAAAAAAAAGAGAAAAAAATATTATAAACAACACAAACAAACTCACAACAAGTTGT